ATTTCTGGCAGATCTAAGTGCAATGAGCGAACAAAGGAAACCAAAGTGTGACTTACCTGAGGTCCTCTGCTGCGTGTTTTGTTTCTTTTTCCTCCTTCTTTTGCTTCCTTCTCTTTTCCTCCTTATGTCTCTTTCAGACCAATATAGTCCGAAGACGTGAGTTCTTTGTGGTCTTACTCGGTCCCGACTGGACAAAACAAATGCAACCTTCTCTCCTCTTTCAGACGGTCGTGGTAATTCCCACGGGTCTATCCTGGGTTACAGGCGCAAGTCTAACACTTTCGCCTCGGCCCCTCAACCTCCGGCGTCTTACTCTCGGGTTGAGGTGTCTACTCGGTCCTAACCGAACTTAATCCGTAGATTATTCGACCGGTCCGCTGGTTTAATCCTGCTTCCTGCCCACGTTGTGATTTGTTTGATCCAGAAAGCAGAAGTCATGTCTGTCCATTCACGGTCGACTGAAGATGTAGACACGGCCGGGGCGTCTGCGCTAAGAAATTTAGAATGCAGCAAAAAAAAAAAAAATTAATATCTGCAGAAAGCTGGACAAACATCGATTCAATGGTTGAATTTGTAATGTCTTTTATAGAGCAGAAAAGAATAGTAGAGAAGAGGAACGGATTACAGAAAAGAAAAGTAAAAAAAAACCCAAAAAAACAAAAACAAACAAAAAACTCACATACTGGATTCTAGACAGAAAGTGAGTGTATGTGATTATCTTGTTGTTAAATCGTCTCAGAACGATATACGACCCTTGCGATGGAGGGATAAAGATTTCTGTGCGGGGCTTAAAGTTATAGTGGCGTTCCTCTTCCCAACGCTCGCCCGGGCCAATTCTCTCATCTCTCTTCAAGAATTTTAGCATAACTACGCGTTTATATAGATAAACGCGGCTGATTATACTGAACCTCGGCCCTACTACTTCGCACGCGATATTCACAGGGTTCTGTCTGCTTCAACCATATCATGTGAATTCCAAAGTTCCTTCTAGCTTACTCAGCTCTGTTTCAATTTTTAATCGATAATAATTAATTTCGACCATTTCCATTGTCTCCTGATGACTCAGATTCAATGGGTACAACGTCTGTCCTCGATCAGATTTCCATATCAGTAAACAAAATGCTCTGATTTAATTTCGCTATTCAAATCTACTTCAATTTCACTAAAATAAAATATATGCGTGTGTGTGTTTCTCAGAATCTCTCTCTGTCACATATATATGATAATTAGTAGGGATAATTACAAAGAGGATATAAGTCCAAAGACAGCTCAATGTAAGAACAGAGTAAATATAATAATGATGAAAGCGGAGACTTTAAAAATCCATGGTAAAAATTTATTTCACGGGATCAGACGGACCCTGTCTCTTCAGACCAAACAATTTTACAACAATAGATGAATTTTAAATTTATCCAGACACAAGCCAAAAATTTTTTCTAGCATAAGAGGGAAAGATACAGATTTTAAAATATGATTTTAATATGGGGGAAGGGAAAGAGAGAGAGAGAGAGAGAGAGAGAGAGAGAGAGAGAGAGAGAGGATATATATATATATATATATATATATATATATATATATATATATATATATAGGGAGCGAGAGTAAGATAGGGAATGGAAGGAAAGAAAGTTGTTAAGAAATTGCCGACGGGTTGATCTCCTTTCACCGGATGTGACAAGTAAAAGAGAGTAAATATGTTAAAAAAGGAACGTAGGAAAGAAGAAAAGAAAAAGAAAAAAAGAAAAAGAAAGCAGTAGAAGAAAAGAGATTAAAATAAGAGAAGTGATTCAGACATGACAAGCAAAAAAGAGTGAAAATATGCAAAAAGGAACATAATCATAAATTATCTATTAAAATCATGTAGTGAAATAAAGTCATCAATCATACCCGTTATAATTTCAAAACACTTTGGTTATTATGAAAATAATATTAGTAATAAAAAATCTTACACTATTTACATTATTCGGATTATTGTTCTCATCTTTGTCGCCGTATTTATCACAACGTTTCGACCGTTGTACGCTCCGGACTTCTTCACGCGGCTGGCGTGTCGAACTGAACCCTTTATTTCGTTCACTGGGGTAGACCTGTTCTAGTTCCAAGTGCCATATCTAATGGATGTCACTTATCAATTATCTCCTGTTAATTCCCCTCTCCAAGTTCTCCCTGCCTTAACCAGGTATTGAACTCACATTCTTTGGGTCCTGTCACTGGATCAACTAACGCCTTTATCTACTGTACCATGTGCCCTCAAGGCGTTAGTTAGATCCAGTGACAGGACCCAAAGAGTGTGAATTCAATACCTGGTTATACATATATATCCGTTGATAATTGCTTGGAGTCATTCCAAGGAGGACATGAAGCCAAAGAGAGTTCCATGTAAGAAAGAGAGCAATATAATAATAAGTATAGGCGATCCTTAAAAATCCATTCGGTTATAAGATATATAAGGAGAGGAGAGAGTGAGAGAGCGAGGGAAAGAAAAGAAAGGAAAGAAGGAAGAATTAAATATGTCGTTAGGCTGACCTAGAAATCGTTTTTTTCTTTACGGGTTGAACAAGTTAAAATACAGTGTAAGTGAGTAGGGATCAGACTTAAAATAGATACAGTAACGTGTCTAATATTCATGTCATTTTCGACATCAAAGTAATCATTATCGCATTATAATCATCATAATTTCAAATATTATTATTAATAATATTTGGCATCAATAAAATAAGTTAAATTAAAATTTAAAATATATATAAAATTATATAAAAAACTGTTAATTAAATAATTAAAATAAGAGATAATAAAGAACAAAATTAAAGAACTAAAACATAGTATATATATATATATATATATATATATATATATATATATATATATATATATATAAGGATAAAAATAATAATAATTAAGAAGTAATGAAAATATTATCAAAAATTAATATAAAAATAATTTAAGATTATAAATGACTTAGACAAGAAAATCACATAAATGAATATATACAAAAATGTGAATACATATACGTATACATGCTAGTACCCATATAAAACAGAATCCACACTTTAAGTATATATTCTCCAAAATCAAAGTTTTTAGAGAATTTCAAATATATTCTTGTGTCTATACTTGATGATAAGTTCCTTCCTTTGATTCAATAATTCATTAGCATTTTTATATTTAATCATAATTTTTCCTGTATGCATAGATTACATATGTTCCAGAAGTTGTTGGGAGACTGAAATTGACAGATGATCCTCAATTTGATTTGTGGGGTGAAACCTTTATCTTTAAGATTCCAATAATGTTTGGATAGAGCAGTTTTTATATCTTACAGAAGCATTGGAGAAGGAATGCTGGTGATTGTAAAGTTTCTGCTTCCAACTCCCAGCGGATATCCCTATGTATACTTTTCCTCATTAATATTTTCTTTCGGGAAAATGATAGCTTCGTACACAACATTTTCAGCGTTACACATGCCTCCAAATGGGCAGTTAGTTCCCGTTTTATAATTACAAGGAGGCTTGCTTTCTGGTGTTTTGCTTTCATAATTTTTTGTTTTAATAATAGGTTGTTGTGTGATTTAATAATACTGTGTATAATGTTAGTGCGGGAATAACTGAGTTTTAGAGTTTTTCTATTGAAAATTTTATGTAGGGGGTTATTATGGTTAAAATGTTGTCGATTAAATTTAGAAAATATCTGCTAATATTTATATTAGTTTACAGAAAGGTAGGTTAAACCATATTGTCTTTCTTTTCCTGTTTTTGGTTTTTATCGAGTTGTATTGTTTTTCAAAGTTTCCTGGTAAACCAGTTTTTGTTTGAAATTACTTTTTGAGAACTTCAAGTTATTTTATCCTCATTGAAGATTTTTTGTTAGACGATAATCTATTAATTCTAGTTTTTACAGTGTTATGGGTTTGATTAATTATTGAGTTAGGGTGATTGGAGTTGAAATTAATATAAATAGAAATTTGATTTTCTTTATGAAATGGTTTGAATGTGTTGTTAGACAGGTTGAAAGTGGTATGTCTAGCCATAAAATGGTTAATTTCTTATATATCACTTTCAACCTCTCTAACAACACAAAAAACTTCGGTCTGAAGAGATGAATACTTGTATATATTCATGAAATACATTATAACCGAATGGAGTTTTAAGGATTATCTGTACTTATATAACAGTGAAAGTTTAGATTTCTTTTAATTCACAGGTTATTTCTAACATCCGTGAATTCTAAAAAGCCCCAACAAATCACCACTTCAGACGAGTCCTATAAAATTCTCGACCCGACGTAAATGTGACCAAAAGACCAAACATTTTTTTTTTTTGAATGGCTTCATGTTTGAACCTTTCATCACGAACTCGTATCTTTGATTTTTTTCCGCTGGTTTGTGCCACAATGCTATTTGAGAGTGTTAATAAACAGTATATGTAAAATGAAAAATCCTTAAAAATACAATGAAACTAACTAGAAAGCAATGAAATGTGTAGATAGATTAATTATTTTATTCGTAAAGCTAATAAAGGCGGTTCACTGACTCTCAAGATATTTACGCTGAATTCATTCATATGCAGTCAATTAAGAGATTACGAGTGAATAGAATTGATCTTCTGAATATCGACAAACACCAAGGATTACAGCAATAATGAAAAATGTATTGTCTTTGAATGTTGTATGGATTTATTTTAGATTTCATTTAACGGTATTTTATGTTTTTTAAATGATTCTACGAAGCAAAAACAAACAAACAAACAAAAAAACAAAAAAACGATGGCTCTAAGTTCTTTATTATACATACATTTTACTCAAACTAAAAACGCAAGTATTTAAATTATTTAGATGTTCATTCGCAACTACTTAACTGAACCGAACATATTCTATTCTTGTCCTGTTCTGATTAACAGGAAAAACACTGTAAATAGCTATTTACTTATGAATTTGGGTAAAATTTTATGCCATTAAATTCAGTGATTTCTGAGCTAAATCATTTACTTTATTCTATTTTGTAGGAAGCTAAGTGTGGCTACGCAATCCTTATCATGGCGATATATTGGATCACAGAAGCACTTCCGATCCCAGTTACTTCGTTATTACCTGTCATACTCTTTCCCATGCTGGAAGTTATCCCAGCAAAAGAGATTTCAAAGTTCTACTTAAACGTGAGTATTATTCCTGAAATGTCTCTGCAGAAGTAATGTTTTTAAAGTTGCTTAGATTTGAGATTAGTAATTCTCAAAGTAGGTGGTAGTCTTGGAAGCCTTGTGCACTCTCAAAATGTTATTTAGGTGCGGAGGACGCTATAATTTTAACAGAGCGCTAAAACCACATTTCATATATGCATTCTTTATTTGTTGTTTTTGCCTATATATTTATATTTCTCGTCGTGTTTTAAATATTTAGATGCATCTGTATTGTGTATAGAGTGAATTCCTACAAACCGAAGTCCAACATCTATGGTCTGGTATGGTGACTGCTACAGCTGTTCCTGCTGTTATATTGCTACACAATATTAACACATGATTTTGACGATGATGCATTAATTTTGCTCCATCTACCAGTGTAATTTCAAGATAAGCGGCACCAACCCGAATATCTGAAAAGGGTCGCTATCGAAGAAAATATTAAGAACCGGTGCCTTTGACTATCGTCTTCGCAATTACTACTTAAATTAGTTATCTGATGCTAAATAAAAAAATTTCTTAAAACTGTCTCAAGGTCAGTTTTTGAATGCAAATTTTTAAACTTGCAACTTTCATCCTGGAGGCTACAGTGAAACATACATACGTACGTACGTCAATAATTTCGGAAACTCATGATTATAAAAATCATTTATTTAACAAAGCAATTTTTTAACATAATTTCTTTCCTTGTTAAAATACTTACTTCAACGGTGAATGTTTATAATATACATTGAATATTCATGGAAAAAGATTCATCTCAAATTTCGGTTAACTACGTGTCAGGCTTCGGACTTATTGACAAACATTCGTATATGAGCTGTACTAGGAAAAATACTGAGTAATACACACACATGCGCATTATATCAGAGGTCACGAAAGTATCACATTTAAAGATCTGCGTATGAGACAACAAGGAAGAGACAAATTCAATTTAAGGGATGAAAAGGGCTCTTTGTGAGTTCTTTTATACTCTCTCCCTCGCACTCTCTCGTTCTCTTTATATATATATATATATATATATATATATATATATATGTGTAAAGAGAGAGAAATCTCTATATAATACATATATTTCGACAGTGTTTGGCATACAGGTCTTCTCCACAGGATGAATTTTGGCAGTTTCTTTGAAAGGAAAACAAAGTGAATATCTAAGCCAAAAATCAATTTATTGCCAAAATAGAAAAGTGTCATACAGGTTATAATAACTAAAACACAATTCACGCAATGAAACCATCCTCAGCATTTACCATGTCCTTGATCCAATTCTGGAATCTGGCACATGTTGCCTTCACGGGAGAGACTCAAACGCTTCCTTAAGCCTATCGATCATCTGGGCTTTGGTGTTAGATGCAGTGCGGTTGGTGTCTTTCTCTATAATAAAATACGTCGAGGTTAGCTAAAGGGAACTATGGCCTAAAAATGTCTAGCGGTATATTACAACTAGGTTTGTAATATAACTTGACTAAAAGGGGAACTTGCTAGTCTCTCCCACGGGTTAACAGTGTATAGGGAGCACGAATGAGAGGTCAAGGTCGAAATGACCTGTTCCTCTGCCGGTTTAAGGATCGAAGGAGGAGGTAACTCCGACAAGGGAACTTCCACTCATCCATGTCAGTTAATTTTAACATCTCTAAAACGGCAGTAGTTATGTTTCACAAGGCCGTTTAAACGAATTTGAAAAAATATAAACATTAATCTCTGTCAAATTTAACCTGAGCATACACACACGAGCACACACACACACACACACACACACACACACACACACACACACACACACACACATATATATATATATATATATATATATATATATATATACACACATCTATCATTTTTTATTGATGATATCTCAAAATACGGTTTTAAGTAATGTGAGTGAACATCATAAAGCAAATTCATTTACCACTAAGTGTGAAAACGATAATGTAGTTACAATTGTGTATTTGCAGATTAACGCGAAGTACATCAAATATATTTATTGTTCTTTTTAGGATACTATCATGTTGTTTGTTGGGGGATTGCTAGTGGCGATCGCAATTGAAACCTGGCAACTTCATAAAAGAATTGCACTTCGCATTTTAATGTTATTTGGGTCAGAACCAAGATGGTAAGCAAAATCTTTTTTACGCTTTAATTACATTATAATTTTAAAAATTAATAATTAAACTCTTTGGTGTTTTTTTTATAATCGAGTTTTCATATTTTTGCTGTTTGCTTTGTTACGAAAGCTAAGAATTATTTGATGTAGTGTTCTCGTTTTCATCACATCATTTCAGACGATATGTTCTTCAGTCTGCATCAAGAATATATCAAAAATATTGTGTCAGCCTCTCAGTTGGTGTCAAGACTATCCAAATGCAGAAGGATTCACCCACACACCTTCAAAAGTGGATACCTGTTTATTGTATTTATGTCTACCTTTTTAACTCTGGTGCAAACTAAACCTATTTGCACCTTTCTGTTTATCAAAACGACAGAACTCGACATTAAGTAACATGGAAAAGGTTGATATGCCGTAAAAAAGCAGACTAAAATGTTCTGACTAAAATATCAGAGATGAGGATATTAGTTCGAATAATTCAGGCATTAATGAAAACATTTCATCTCGTTACTCCAGACATCGGTTTTTACTTTTTGCAACAGGTGTTTGCATATTTTTTACTTTTTGCAAACATTATTAATTAACAATTATAATTTTTTGTAATTCTACGGTCGATGATAAACAGTGCGGCTCAGAAATAAATAATCAGCTTGCCACGGGACTTGAACTCGCATCCCTTTGACCTCAGAGAGCCTGTAGAATATTGCGCTGAAAATTTGCGAGGGAAAGCAATTGAAATTAAAACGAAAGAAATCCTTGTCAAAATTTCAATAAGGATGATAATGTTTAATTTAATAATAATTCAAAATGATATTGTTGTAATAAACTATAGTGTATATAAGTAAAACATCAAATATGACCGCGCCAGCAGTTTGGGGCAAATAAAGAATAAATCTATAGGGTTATATTTAATCTTCTGCAACCATTGGGTTTTATAACTAAAACGACGGTATGACCATTAAAATGGGCGCGTGTTCGATCTCGCTGGGAGCTTATAATTTCCAATACACACTCTCTACTAATAGCAGTAGAATGAAAATGCAATGAAAATGCAATGAAAATGCAACTAAAATTAAGATAAAAGAAATGCCACTTCAAAATTAATAATGGCTGACAATGCTTCATCTAATAATAAAAGTTCATGATAATATGATAATGAATGTTGATTTTTTTATTTGCTTTCTGATAATGAATATTACCAACTTGGCATTTGAACTAAGGCCTCAAATTTCACTCTTCTTCTTTGCCACAAATAAATCCAGTCATGGAATTTTTATTCTTGGCTGATTTTTTCTAATAATGATCAACAACACTTCTAGAACAAATCTATCCACTTTTTAAACTATATATTTATATTTCTTATTTAATGTTTTAATATATTTTATCTATGTTAATTTTATATTATTTAAATTTATTTTATATCATTTATATTAACTATGATATAATCTACTATCTATTTACAAAATTTTGCTCAATAAGAAATTGATTTTTGAGAGAATTCAAGTCATATTCAAATTTTATAATAAAAAAAGTAATAAATATATAATAATAATAATAATAATAATAACACGAGTAATATTTAAAATGTAATAATTAAGAATAACACTGTATAATACTTAAAATATAAAAAAGGTAGAATTTAAGGATTTTTGAGGCATATGAAAAATATGCACAAATAGATGATCAAAATCAAGATTTCAAGATGCCGGAAAGAACATCTTAAATTATCAACGAGTGAATATTTAAAAACGAAATTAATGAGGGAAATTTAGCATTCTGAGAAACATTGTGTGAAATGTGTAGCAATACGATTTCTCATACATCCTTAGGAGATAAATAGATATATTCTTTTCCTTTAAGTCAATTTAATGACCAGAATTTCTTAAGAATCTTGTCTCCAACCCATCTTTGAGTAAATATAATGACTATAATTTTTCAGGAATCCTGTCTCCAGTCCACCTTTAAATTGTCAAACATACATTTTTGTTAGTGATTTTAGATAGGCATAAAAGTAGAGGCCTTTGAAAAACTGGCCACCCAAATGCTGTCTGGGTGGTCCCCCTTTCTGGTTGGTGGAACAGAAGTGGATTGAAAAGGGTGGTAATTCCTCCAGCCAATATCCATGTAGTGAGTAGTCAGTGAAAGCGCCAGCAGTCATTAAGACGTTCATGCAGTATGTAGGGGTTCTTTTCCGGAAATTAGTGAAATACCAGAAATTCCCTTTCTTGAAGCAGAAGAAAGTTATTACCGATTAAGTGAGAAATCGTTTTTTTTTAGCTACTTTCAAACCAGTGTCTTGAAAAGTAAGTATTTATTGTTATTCTTTTTTGACGTCGATCACGGCCCTAATATTGAAACAAATCCGTGGAACATAGCTAGAGCCCGGTGTACAGCCGACATTGGATGTCATCACAACTTATGCAGTAACGTGCGGAATCGCATCATCACAGATGAATGAAACCCGGATATAATAAAATATATAAAGTATAAACGTAATAATTATAATTATATAAACTTAAAATAGCAGCTCCAGGAAAAAAAAACAAAACAAAAAAAAACAACGCCTAAAATAAAAAGATTATTTGGTTCTGCAGAAGGACGATGGACAGAATATATGAGCAACGACGAAGTTTTAGAGAAAATGGAAACAAAAAGGAAACTTGCACTTAACATCAAGAAGAGACAATTGACATTTCTAGGGTACATAATGAGGAAAGAGGACTTAGAATATCTGATACTCACAGGACAGATACAAGGCAAGTGAGACAGAGGAAAACAACGCATAATGTACTTAGTGAGCTTGAATTTATGGATGACAGAACAAGGTGTAGAAGAAATAACGAAGACAAAATTTATTAAGAGCTGCAAAGGACAGATAATTGTTCAGATACATGTTCACCTCCGTCCCGTGGAGACAGGGTACATAAAGTAGTAGAAAACAGATCACGCGATGCAAAAATAAAATTTTAAATCATTTGTTGTTGGTTTGAGTAAATTCAAAAAATTTAGAGTTTGTTTCCCATGAAGATAAATACTACTGGCCGAAGTCGGTCAACTTAAAAATACCAGCTTGTCTACATACATTGACGACAATCGACTCTCTTTATCCAAAGAGTGAAGCAGTTAGAGATAAAGACTTACTGTCAGTTTAAACTACAGCTTCTACACCCGTACTTCCTTATCTCTTATCTGTGATTTAGACAAATGGAAAGATAATACTTAGGTTTCTTATTAAACATTTACTAATACATATATATTCTTATTTTTAGCACAGCACGCATTTAATTATCAATCGTGTTCCAAACAATATCTCTTTAAGAATTAATGAGTATAATAATATTGTGTGGCTATTTTACTGGCGAACATCTGACTGTTGCATCTTCTCACTCGGCCGGTGATCACTACATTTTTGTGGGCAGCAATGAATGACATCAAATACGAAGAATTTTAACTTATCTATTTTATTAATGCCGACATATATTATCTATTGGAGATTGTTCCTCCACACTGGGGAGCCGTTTCAGACACGAAAGAAAACATCTCTACATTGCTGGACGGTCAAGACTGGACTTTCCGAAAAAAAACTTTCTCTATCCACGTTAGCTCAGCCAATCAAAATCGACTTCCTTATTATGTCTTACATTTCTGAGATTTAGACTGTACTTTTATTTTTGTTTTTTACTAAAAGTTTAGTTTTTTTTATTAATTCACTCCAAGCAAGGCGATAATGCCACAAAGACGAAAGGGGCTACCGAAAGTATAATGAAATGACTTTAGAAGGAACTGGAAACCTAATCCTAAAGAGGGAACAATAAAGAAATCTTTACTTCTGTTCAAAAGACCGGGGTTAAAGAAAAATTTAAAACAAAATATTTAAAACACCAATAAATGAAAATATTTTCATTTTGTAGAAAAAAAATGAAAAACGTATAAATAGTACCAGTAAATTTTTACTATTACACGTGTCTTATTTCACCGTCATTGACCATCTGACTACTTAGCATAAAATAATAGGGATGTAACTGGAGTAATAGTAAAATAATACCACAGTACTAATTACACGTTGCTATAGATTTAACAAACTCCTTTGTAATTGTTAGATCATGGTCCTTTAGTATTATATCGCGTTAATTTTGATTCACTTTATTATCACATATCTACTTTCAAGTCTGACAAGACAGGACGGTAAAACATTATCTTAGGTTTCTTCTTATATGACATTGGGATATAGTTCTCTTATTCAAATATATTCGTTTTCACATCAATACAACTGTTTGACAAGAAGGAAGTATTTTACCTCTCTGGTTCAATAATGGTTTTTTTTACTATCGAAATAAAATAAGTTATAAGGTTCTCTAATCTAGCACAGATGATAAAAATGTAATTTTTTTATACTTGATGTTTGTAAGAACTCGTGTTCCTTTAAGAAACAGACTACCTTTTTAACCTCTCCAAATGAAAATCTAACCTTTTCTGACTGCCATTCAGAACTAGACAGTTGTTATACCGGAACGTACCTATTTCTATTGTAAATAGACTCTCCCACAGGTAATAAGTAGTAGTAGTAGCAGTCGCCAGTGAAGCTCAGTGAGTTGGTCTGATTTCAGTCTGAAGCCGGACGACCGGCTGACCGATTGAACTCTCTGCCTTCGGGCGGGGAGGAACCCGAACGAGGCTCCGCCCAAGGCGGAGTCTCTTTCGGGAAGGTAAACCGACCCTGAACCCGTTTATACGGGTTCAAAGGGCATATTTTTGGCAGAGCCCACGGGCTCGGAGATGATGCTCTCGTGGGGGGGGGTGTGACTAAATACCGCTCAGTGAGTTGTGTGAGTCAGTCGATGTCGGACATTAAAGTATGAGCCCCACAACTAGATTGCTGCGTCATTAACTATTATTTCAAGTTCCTAACGTTTTGTACGTCGAACCTAATTTAGGACCGACTTAGTGAAATACAAGCTTCCACTGTGAAAATAACTCTACAACAACAGTCAAGTGCAATTCTTGGTAACTGAGATAATATATGAGTAAAACTGTTAATTAGGTTGCACTGTCCAATGACTCAAGATATTCAGGCACATGTTCTGAGCTCAGACCGATACTCTGAAGAGTCAAAAAGCGAGAGGGTCAATAAATAGGCTGGTTGGAAAATGATTAAGACCAAATTTTTCAAACTTGAAGAAATAAAACTTGAAATGTTCTTTAATGTCTTTTAGTAAAATGCTTCAACAAACTCGAAAATATATAATATAAAGTCTTATAGTAAAGTCCATCAAAAAGTTCATCAAAAATGTCCATCAAAAAGTCAAACATTAATAAGCATGGTACCCTAAGAAACTACTGTGGTAGGGTTACAAAATTAACAAACAAAAAAAAAAAATAATAAATAAAAAAGAGACAAAAATTTCTTTTGTAAAGCAAGAGAAAATAAGGCTAGCAGTTTCAGTTCACTCTAACAGTACGTACCACAAACATCTAATAGATTCTGGATTTTATAGATTATATTTTTATTTGGAACCCATGGCTTAATTCTAACACTGGTAGAAAAATATTTGTGGACGAGGAAAATTACGGCAACCACTATCATAAGAAAAACGCCAATGAAACGAAAACCTACTGGCGATCTTGCAACGCTGTTAATCTGTCATTGCATTTTTTTATTTTATTCCTTTTTTAAAAATTTATGATTACTACCTATGCTTTTTCAAAATTTATGGCAATTGCCTTTAAAAGCTTCAAAAAATTATTAAAGGTACGCAATTATCAAGGGACGCATTTGTCTAAGGATGTAAATATCCAGGGACAATTGTCTGGTACGCAATTGTCCAGGGAGCAAATGTCTAGTACGCAACTGTCCTAGAACCACCAGTAACCCATTATGGTGACCTTGTAACAGATTAAAATCATATTTAGTGAAAATTTATAATCTATATATGGAAAAGACAATATAGTGCAGACCATTTCACAAGTACTCCAATACTCTGGCCTTGTGCTAACTGAATAACTTAGGTTGTCTCTCTGTAAAATAATAGTTAAGTAGGTTCGCTCCTTGACCATTAGTTCTGTAATGTTTGATTATCACTAAGTGGCTCAGTATTGTGAGCTGCCTAGTGGTAGAGATAGTTGAGATGTGGTTGAAAATCGATCCGATAAAAAAAAAACATGGTTTCGTTTGCTGATTTTATGGCTATCGGCTTTTGTCTATCATTCTGTACCCATGAGCGAAACAGACATGTGCATTTCTTCATAAAACTAGATGAGTTCTTATTTAGGAGAATAAGTTACTTGAGTTGACCATTAGTCTATGTACCGAGTTCGATCTTCAACGGTGCATCACAACTGTGACCTCATAAGAGATTAATTTAGACTTAATAAAATATCTTTGTGTTTACTCATAGCTGAGAGAGTTGAGAATCTTCCATTGGCGTTTTTGGCCCACATAAAAATCTAAAATTTTGAATGTTAAACTTCACAACAGATATGTCATCGCCACTTGAAGGATCAGAGCTACACAATCTTCCTACTTCCAGTTGACCTTGTGGCGTTGTAAGGCAATGTTTGATATTCTTATAGTACAGGCTAATTCAAAAGTGCTTCTATACTCTAGCTTTGTGTCAAATTAGGATTTGCTGAATAAATAACTATTAGGTTGGTTGCCTCTCTGTACAGCAATAAATATGAATGTTCTCTCCTTGACCATTACTTCTCTGATGATTTTGATTATCACTAGGTGCCTCAGTATTGTGACCTGCCTAGTGGCTGAGATAGTTGAGAATCTGTGGTCGAAAATCGATCCCACATACAAAGCTTAGTAAATATCAAAATATGCGTAAACTTGCATTTGACAGGCTTGGCACTTTAATTTATTACGTATTTTCCATATCTTTCAAAATGCCAAAGCGAAATAGTTCAAAGTTCAAGGACGTCATTAAAAAGTATTTTATTTTGGTTTGAGTATTTATAATCATAATATGCTAAATGGCCTACCAATAATTGTAGTAAAATTTTAAATTTCAGTTTATTTACATTTTCAGATTTTATTTGTATCTAAATAGGTGTTCAGTTGATTTTTGTGAATGTATATTTTAATAACAAACTCTGATTAGTTGAAATGTTTGCAGAAATGCACTTGTGCCTGATATAGAGTGAGTTCATGCAGTTTAGTAAATCCCATCACTCTTTTTTTACAAGAGAAAAAGAAGTACAAGCGAACAGACTCAGAGAAGTTGACATACAATTTCAGTTGTAGATGAGTTTTTTTGATCTTTTAACTCTTTGGTAAAAGCTGTTGCTCGGCATAAATTTGTGTAGACGAAAATGGAATGCTTGAGTTGACTGACCGAGACTTGTTGCAAAATCTCGTATTTATCCACTTTCGAGGAAGGTTTTTTTTCATTTACTCAAGCCAATAACGACTGAAGAAAAGTTCTTTTTATACCCCGTGGTCTGTTTTCTACGACACCCGCAACATTTTAATCTTATTTTAGATTTTATTCTTGGTAGTTTTGTCTTGGTGCCTACAGTCTTGATTTTGATCCTCTTTTGGTGTGTCTTTTTGATATTGCTCTGAAATTTTGACACGCTATTTTCATCACCCAATTTTAAATATTACTATGAAGTGTCTAAACAGGTTTTCCCAAGTAAACGAATTCAATAAAAGAAATAAGAAACTTTTCTTTAAAATTCACTAACTATATGAATGTCTGGATAATTATCCGATAGCATTTACAAAAGAACAAAAGAACTAATCGATTAATTTGTAGTAAGATTAAAGAAATTTTGAAATAAAAGCAGTTTAGAGTGTATGATTTGGGAGAAAATTTTTCTGACACTATTGCATGGATTATAATTGGATTTCTCAGTGCCCCCACGTCGCTACCGAATGTGACACAAAGTCGAGGATTAAAGTGGATTGAACGGCAATAGCGTGGAAAAATTGCTCAAGTCTCCTTGGCACTTGCCCTTTTGGGTTCGTCTCAAGCACCGGGTAATTCTAGTCCCTTTCCGAAGGAGAAATACTGTCTGAACCGGGCTTAAAATTAATATTATTTTGAAACGACCCAGCTGCAGCCAGGAAAGTATATTACATGAATTATAACAACATCACTCATTTATTTTTAAATATATATATCAACTATTAAGCAAATAAGTTATCGCGCTAGGATTTTTCATTATAAATGTCCTGATTTGATATTTATTTTTGAATGTGTTATACCTGACTCAAAAATGAGAGTAGTAATTATATTTAGCAACACTGCAGCAACTGTAAATAACGATTTAACTTTTAGTACAGAGGTTGATTGTGTTGAGCTTTCAAATGTCAATATTCTCCGTTAATGACATAATTTATTATAATAACACGTTTATACAAAAATTATTAATATTTAGAGTTTTCAAGCATTGTATCCTACATTCTTGCGAAGCAAAATTATATTTTGCTGCATTTATTTATTTATTTTTTAAAAAAAGGTTAATTCTGGGTCTGATGTTGAACACTTGGTTCCTGTCAATGTGGATCAGTAACACAGCTACCACCGCCATGATGATGCCGATTGCAGAGGCAGTTCTTCAGCAGCTGAGAAAGACAAAAGATCAAAAAATAAGTGAGTCGGTTGTTGTATTTTTTTCTACATCACAAAATGCATTATTTTTTTTATACACAAAAATACCTGGAACAAAGAATGTATGATAACCCTTTCGGCTCTCTGTATGGTATAAGGCCATAACCGTGTCACATTAAGAAATATATAGTTTCAAATAGATGGACCGCTTATTACTGAAAATTGCACAGAAATTATCAAAGAATTTCATCCCACCACAGTGATGTTGCTTGCCTTTATCATTTCTATAAATATTTTCATAGCAATTGTTCTAATTTATTCTCCGCCTTGGTACCTCGGTCGCATTAATTTAAGTATATACCACTAGATTGGCTACCATGTGTAATCGTTTTACTGTTGAAACAGCTAGATGTAATGGTCAGAACAATTGCCATGAAAAATATTTGTAGAAAAGACAGGGGAAAGCCACATGAAGGCTGTAGGAAAGTAACTGAAGTCGATCTTTTATTGTCCTTACTCCTCAATAAATTCTTTTCATTCTCTCTTTCACTCTCATTAAACCCTGGCGTCTTAGTGGTATTATCACATTGCATGGGGAGGAATGATTAAAAAGATGTTCGTTGAGAAAAATAATTCTATTTGACAACAGATCTATGAGGGGATACATTTGAACTTTCAGTGAAATCAAAAGGTTTACAGTTTAATTTTTAGAAATACTATAATTGCATGTAACAATAATAACTGAAAATAAAGTACTTAACTTCAAATAAACTACCTAGAACGATTTTTTAAAAGAAATAATCCACCCGACACATACTTATATTAAATACACTTTTTATTAAATATTCAGGAAAATTTCTCCGATCTCCTAATTTAGACTGTGAGTATATGAGTACAAAGTTTACATAGAAGTTAACACCAATGCATTTAACACCTATTATATAGAATTAGATCTAATAAGAACACCTACATTTTAAACTAATGACTACCCACAAAGATACACGATAGTAGTGATAAAAAAAATGCCCACTAAATGAAAGCTAACCTCCTCTTCCTGAAAAATGTCTTTTAGTGACTTCAAACATATAAAAATAGCATTGGTTAACAATAATCTTCCCACCTACATTATTGATAATCAAATAAAATTATTCACACAGAAATGAAATACCAACATTAAAAGTATACGCCTGTCGGAGTTACCTCCTCCTTCGATCCTTGAACCGGCAGAGGAACAGGTCTTCTCGACCTTGACCTCTCATTCATGCTCCCTATACACTGTTAACACGTCGGAGGGACTAGCAAATCCCCTTTTTAGTTAAGTTATACTACTAACCTAGTTGTAATATACTGCTACTCATTTTTAGACCATAGTTCTCTTTAGCTAGCCTCGTCGTATTTTATTATAGACACTTTACTGTTAGCTTATCCAATTTCACTTGCTGGCCTCCCTTGTCACAAGACAGTGACTTCTCACTAAATCCTGGAGAGGGGTCGGCGACAGAAACGGTCGGATGCGCAGGCCCCTTGGCCAAGGACGTCGATCACCGGGCTGTATATTAAGTTACGCTCCCATTTTTTTTGTCTGCCAACTTGACGATAGTTGGAAACTTTCCTTTCTCTCTCTACTTCGCCTACTACTCCTGGCACCTGTTTGACTATCGGCATTCCGTCCCTACTGGCTGCTTGCACGTCGTCCTTAACCTCTCCCGTACACTATGTTAGTAATTAATACGGGAGGTTACTAATATCGGACTCAACCGGCAAACACGCTACGCCTGCACTGGACCTGTGACATGCCCGAACAACGCCAGCTCTTCTTTCCTTCCCAACACGTCAAAGTTGGCAACCCGGCAACGACAAACAACCAACAAGTGGCATCCCGGCAACGACAAACAACCAACAAGTGGCACTCCTGCCAACAAACACAATCAACTTCAACAACCAACAGCGAATGAGGCTAAATGAATGTCGTTATATTTCTTAGGCTTAACTTAATGCTCTACAAAGTCAAATGAGAAAAATTAAGTTAGGAAGATTGTGGTTCGCCAGTCCTCTAAGCGAGGAGGGACTGCTTGTTTTAAAAAATCAGCATTCAAAATCCAGTTTTTTTCATTTGGACTTTAACATTGATCTCTAACTGTAATGAAACATTAAAAATCGACTTGTATCTTATTTGACAAAACCCTACACGATGGAAAGATACTTTCAGTATCATGTACATCAAAATATGAGGCCCCTTGTAGCAATGAAGATTCACTCATGGGCTATCACAGAAATAACTGGCCAAATCGACAAAAGATATTAACTGAAACCAATTCAAGAACATCAGGTGTAGAGATACACATGCGCATTAACGAAAGCCTTGTATTACTTTTCTATTTTCCAGATGGCTAAATGTACATGCTACTTCAAATAAATAAATGAATATATATATATTTAATACTTACAGCAGTGAGTGATAACCTGGCCATGGAAATTGACAATATTGAAGACAAATCAATACAACTGAATAAACAAATTGCAGATCAACAAGACATAAGAAATCTACCACCGAATAAAGAAAGCAAGTATGCTCTTTTGATTTATATTTTCGTTATGTAATTGTTTTCTTGTTAAATTAGTTTTTTTTTTGTTTGTTTTGATGGTTTTTGTGGGGAGTTCTAAACATACAGTTTCGTAACTAGTGCGAAAATAGCTCTTTCTCGGAGGAAAAAACAAACAAGACTTGTTTCAGAAATGCATTAAGCATCATCATCACCCTGAAGTTTAATTTCAGTCCTTTATCTTACCATTGAGTAATTTTATTATTATACAGGGTGCGATGGGTAAATTATCACCATTTTATATTTCGCGCATGCGCTTTGTTTCTTTTGATTTTATCGACTGCACAGTATAGGGGGTTAGTTGGGCACCGTCTGCGAGAAAAAAAGCACCAGAACGGAATTCTCTCCGCCAGAAATTTGGAAAACGGCATGCTGTACTGCTTGATATTCGTGCCGGGATCTACAATACGAACATTTCAGATTGTTTGGGTGTCAATCTGAGGACAATGCTGAGAATTCGGAAAGATTTGGAAGAGTCTAATGGTGATTACGAAAGTATTTGGAGAGATCACTAGTGATAGCGACGTTACGCCTCCATTTATCTTCACACATGGCCCCAGACTTAACACAGACCTACATCAAGTACCTTGAGGAGTTAGTGCTGTCCTGGGTTAAGAGGGTGACTGCTAAAAGGTCCTATGTCTGGCAACAGAACTCCGCACCATGCCGCACAAGCAGGAGAATCTAGTCACTGCCGTTAGACAATTTCTGCAACCACATCACCCCTTACATCTGACCACCTAACTCCCCAGACTCCAACATCTTTGATTAGTATGTGTCGGGTGCAGTTGAGCGAGAGACCAACAAAACTCCTTGTAACACCAAAGATGAACTGAAAGCCAAGATTAGAGAAGCATTCATCAACTTAAAAAAGAGACCGTCCAGAAGAGATGCAGAAGATTCCGAAGTCCTCTAGGAGCTGTGGTTGAAGCCAAAGGCGATTTGATTGAATAAATTTACTCTTTAGTATTTCAAGATAGTTTTGTGTAATTTTGGTAAATATACCCTTGTGCAAATTAATTGAAACAACCACTTTAGTTTCCTTTCTTTCACCATATGGTCAGTTTTAGACCAACTGGAGTGTAATCGATTTCTATTTTATCTCAGATTAGGTCATTTGCAGTGGTGTGCGGCAACATGAATTTATTTTCGGTGTGTATGATGAAATTTGTTTAACCTTGAAAAATATTGCATCAAATTTTCATCACGCCTAGACACTATTCTCTCGACTGTTGATTAGTTGTCCTACGGCCATTGTCTTCGATGGACGTTACTCCGAGGAAGCGTACAAAAATTGTAAGGCTGCACGAATACACTAGCAAGCCTTACCTGTGAGCAAATCAAAGTACTATAGATTGGCCCGAAAACTCTCCTTATTTAAATCCAATCGAGAATCTGTTGTCAGTCTGCAAGGAACGGCTTCGTGGAATGGATATACGAAATGCTAACATGTGCACTGAGGCATATTGCATTGGAAAAATACGAAAAAAATAATAACGGAATTATTCATTTTGTTTCAATTAATTTGCACAAGGGTGTATGTCTGTTAAAATGAAATGTCAGTGATATTTTCATCTTGGCATAATTTAGATGACAATTTATCCATCGCACTCTGTATGTACATCTTCTGTTTTTGATCAAACTGTTAAAATTGGTAATTTATATTTTCTAACAATGCATCTTCGATAGACAATGATTAGAAACAACAGAACATAACCACTTTTTTATCACTTGTTGAATATTAAAAAGCATCTGATTCAATAGAACATTTAGTGATATTTAATTCATTACAAGAGCATGGTATTAGCGAAATTTATATTAAAATGAATGATGATATATACGATAACAGTATTGTGTTCTTTTGGCTATATTAAAAACATTGTTAAAATAAATAAAAGTGCGTCAGTGGTAACATTTCAACTAAATTATTTATTGTATGCCGTGAAAGGATCTTTCTAGTAAGAAGCGAGATGTTGTAAACATAAACAAGGAATATTTGAACCATCTACCATTTGCTGGCGACATTTTAATAATCTCTGAATTAATGAATAAATTACAAGAAACGCTAAATTATCTGAATAGAGAACGTTTCAATGCATGTTTTAAACATGATTTGAAGCAAAATTTACAGACCTGAATATTTTCCCTGATGAAGAGAAAAATTGAAAATACTTTTAAAATATTTTCCTATTCTAGTGATTTAATATACAATGCCAAAAGAAAGAACTACAAAACCCACAAGTCCAAAAAGCAAAAATAAGTATAAACAATTATACAACAAGCCCCCCCCACACACACAATGTACTTAATATGATAATGTTATTTGTGTCAGATTGCATTCACATATATACTTAAAAATCATGAGGGTTCGAATGATCTAACATTATGCACCGATTATGCCACGTCATATTAACACCCACTACTTTATTAAAAACTTATTTTTATTATTCCTGAACATAGTTTCGGATTGATGCTGAAAAAGTTGGGACCCGACATACTTCTCAAAATCTGACCGAATATGTTTTCTGAAGGATTTCAGGTTAAGAATTTTTTACTACCCCTTCATATATACATATATATGTAATGGGCCCCGATAAAAATAAAATATAATATATAGGGTGTATCAAAAATACTTTTAAAAAATTTGGGGGCGGATTCCTACTATCAAAACAATGACAAAAGTTCATGTAAGCATATATTTGCAAATTGTCCGTTTTTGAGTTAAGTTTAAAGAAAGTTTACTGTAGATCGAACATACTTCCAAACCTGCTCGAGGATGTAGCCCTGTTAATATAAAGACGCATGTGGTTCATGCATGGTGTTCCAGCACATTTTAGTCACAATGTTTGCGATGCATTGGCTGACATCTACCATGAAAGATGGATAGGTAGGGGAGAACCGATTCTATAACCTGCTCATTCTCCCGATCTCAATTCTTTTGGTTTTTATCTGTAGGTACACCTAAAACAAATGGTTTATGCAGTAGATATTAATAATGCAGAGATGCTTCATCAACGTGTTACGGGGCCTGCGAAACCATTTGACATCGTGTGGGAGTATTTGATAGGGTCCTCCAGTCAATGAACTGATGTGTGCATGCATGTGTAGAAGCAAGCGGAGAACATTTTGAACATTTCTTCTGTTGCTGTATTGAGGTACAACGATGACCTTTTGGACATATATTCATATGAACATTTTACCTTGTTTTGGTGTCAGAAAGCCGCCTCCAAAATTTGTAGAAGTATTTTTGGATTGTATCTTGGATTGTACATTTAACATCATCTACCGTAAACTTAAGTCAAAAACGAAGGATTTGCGGACACATGTTTATATGAACTTTTGTCCTTGTTTAGGTGTGAGTAACGCACCCCCAAAATTTGTAAAAGTATTTTTGATACACCTTGTATATTAACAACAGCATTTTCACCTCCCAACCCAGGACAAAGAACTTAATAATAAAAAGCAATATCGATCTACTGTAGTAAGAGCCTGCAAATAAATTTTATCATTAAAGAATGAAATCGTTGGCGCGCTTTTATCGCAAAAAAAAAAAAAAAAAAAAAGCGCGAAGCAGGACAAAGATTGCACTAAGGAAAATGCTATCAAAACTAGACAGCTACGAATGTGCAAATGTGAGATCACCAATGAGTAAACACAGGCGATCCCATTATTGGATTAAGTAGACCACGTGGCCATAGAGGAAACGCATATATGGGAGGTAGCGTGTGTCTAATTGATCTGCATTCCTACTCTCTGGAGAAGAGCATTACTCTTCAAGACGTTACGTGTTTTGTTGGATTATTGAGCGTGTTGGAAAAGCTTCTGTGAAATAGTCATATGAACTGATAAGTTTTTGATTTTATTTTCTAAAACTTTTTTGAATTCTTCAGTTTATTTTTATTTGTGTATTTTGTTCTTTTCCTTTCTTGTTATTTTTACCCTCCTCACGGTTTTTTGTTTTCATTACTTTTTGTTTTTAGTTGTTTGAATTGTCTTTTGTTGTCCACGTTTTTCTTTCTTTTTATTTTGTTTGTACTGGACATTGTTTTGTTTTTCGCAGACAAAATAATTTAAGAACAATTTAAAAAAAAAAAAAAAAGAGACCCGTTCAGTCGTGGTGGTGGTTTCGGGCCATCATGAGCGAGAATGAGGAAAACATCACACCGCCGGCGTCTTCGGTAAAAACGGCCTGGACGGAAAATAGGCCGAGGAAAAAAGACGCAGAATATTATGCGGAACAAAAGAAAAAGTTTTAAGGAAAATGAATTCCTCACGGTCCCAGAGGCTTTGGAGGCCGTGACTACTAGAATAGATGGGAAATCAATGGAAGATCCCAGAGATTTTCCAAATGCCCCGGGGGACATTACCTGCATAACGGAGACTGGGAACTACTTGAAGGTATGGAATCATGTGTCAGAAGCAAAGGAGACTTTTTCCAACATGAGAGTTGCAGAAATACTCTCCTTATTTGAGGAAATTGCGCCAATACTGTGCTGGGAGGGTCCTTGTTATTCTCCACCCCTCCCTATATAGTTGTTTAAAATTAACTTATCCCACGGATGTCGGCGGTATTGCTCTAGAAGAACGAATGACGTCAAAGCTAGGTGTAGGGAGCCTAGGGCAATCCGTCGGGATCCTGACTAACTCAGATTTCCGCTCTGTATGTGAATAGGTCTTTTTCTTTGTTTTTTTTTTTTTTCAGACCTAATTGATGACTGTCAAGATAGCCAGTTTGAATGCGAATGGCTTGAGGGAGCGGGGTAAGGCGGTTCGCCTGCTCCGTGATCTCTTGTCGTTCGGCGTGGATGTTGCCGCGATTCAAGAGACCCACTTTGTTTGCAACGTCGATGCTTGTGTGCTGTCTAATGACTTTGTCGTCTATTCACCATATGGGAACCGACTGGCCACAGGAGTTTCTTTGCTGGTGAAGCGGACGCTTGATGCGAAGGTGGACCTTGTGCATA